TTCTTGACTGCACAGGTTATTTTCTGGCCATAAAAGTTATTCATTTGTTCTGATTTCAAATAATTATCAGTGTAAATTTATTTAGCCTCCTTTATTTTTAGCATTTAGTAGCTACCTTAAAATACCATTGTCAGTATATGAATTCCAACTAGTCAGTAAGGACATATTGCACCCATGCTTGCTTACTGCGTATGATAGTTGACAAGAGCGTGGTCAGAAGCTGCTTGAGATACTCAATTCAATTAGTTGGCTAACTGATCAATACTATCGTCCATTACTGCAATAATTGACTGTCAAAGCCTCTGGGTAAAGAGAAGAAGACACTGCTCATTGAAGTTGAGTAAAACCGCTTAGTAGCATTAATTGTGTTTCATTGACTCCACTGGGAAGGATGTCATTAGAAACTTTTTGCAGTCAGGCTTAATATTATTGAATTTCCTGCTTTTTAATTTACCTAAAAAAAACAAAACCCCAATTTAAATGGGCTGAGTGAAATGTGGAAATCATTCTGTAAAACATGCTTCATCATAATAAAATTTTATTCCAGAATATTATCTATTTTGGACTTACTGTTCAGACTTTTATTAGTAGTGTTTGTAATTTCTGCACAAATATGCAGAACTGATCAATCAATTTTTTATTTACCAATGTTTTTCCACCTTTCCAGAATTACATATTGTTTTAGTCACATCGAGTCCCTTGACCACCGTTTCTGGAACAGTGAGTCATGGCTTCACATTTCATCTGTGCCACCAACCCTCCACTGAGACATTCACTATTAGTGTGTTAGGGCCCATTGTAATGAATTCTAGTCCTTTCTACGATGCAAAAAATAAGAAGAATGTTGCTTGCATGAAGTCTCATTACAAATAAATCACTTTTAGTGATATCCCAGGGAACCAAGTGAATTTAGCATTTGGTTCGCTGTTAAATCCTTCTCTTAGTTGCTAAATAGTGTGGTCAGTCAATCCCCTCCCTGCACTGTCAGACCATGCTGATAAAAATGAGACAAATTTGTGAGTGACTGAGCTTGTCTCTAGCAGTAGTGGCCACTCAAGAGACCAGCACTGCCATTCACAAAAATCGCACAGCCTGCGGAGTTGTGTGTCTATCTGCGGATGCTTATATATATATATACACAGCCCCTTAATTGCCAAATGAGTAGAAGCTGTTTTGGTTGTGTAATTCTTTTTTGTGTTCTGGTACAGTGGTATTTTTCTCGCGGATACGTTTGATACGGTTTACATCACACTATTTTGATTTTCTAGTTTTCCCCTGCATGAGTAGGGGAGTGATTAGTGAAGTGTATATCTCTACGACAAATGGCTTGTCTAGACCGGCATATTTTCAACTCTGCAATGATTGTAAATACTAGATTACTAGCTGTTGTTATTATGTCTAGGGATGCGAATCATGGTTGGATTAGGACAGGCCTATAAGGTCTCTGTCTCTTTTAGTGTTTTTTATTTAATTTTTCTGTTTTTTGTTGTTTTTTTTTAGTCTTTCAATAAAAACAATTTGAAAAAAACATACACAGCACCGAACCATAGATGTCACAGCTCCGCTGCACTGAGTGCTGAAGTGCTGTGTCTTACAGGGCACTGACCTGACATTTCTGCTCGTTTATTCATAAATGTCAAAGATCACTCAGTGCTGTCAAATCCATCGGCCAAGGCTGTGTATGTTTACAAGCAGCTGGCAGATAGATCACACAACTTCACACCAATGTGTGATCTTTGTGTTTTATAAATGGACAATCAGTGCTGCTTCTTCATTCATAATAGTAGACATATCACAGCTGTGACTCTGTATGATTATCTGTGGCTGCTTGTGCACATACAGGGCATTGGCAAAGAGAATAAACAAAGCTGCGGCAATGAGTACAATTTTACTAATCTGAATGAACAAGCAGCCAGGGCCGCAGTTAGAAATCATGGGGCCCCGTACAGCCTACCTGAAAGGGCCCCCTTTGACCCCACCCCTGGCTTTCCCCAGAAACCCATCTGGAAACAAAATGCAGCTTTGTCTTGTATGTAGTAGAAGGGGGAGCGGTTACAAATGCAGGTGCAGATGAGGCCTAAGGCCACAAGGCTATTTTTCTCAGAAAATAGGTTCTGGAACTCTATCATGCCCCCATCATATCACTGGCCATTGACAATACCCCCCCCCCCCCTGCCAGTGTGCTACATACAGCTTTCAGAATTGGGTTACATACAGAGTTCGGAGCTCAGGACTGGGCTATGTACAGAGCGCATGGTTCAGAATTGGGCTACGTACAGAGTGTGGGGTTCAGGATTAGCTATCATATCCCCATGGTATCATTGGCCATCAACATCATCTACAATACTTCCCCGCCAGTGTGCTACATACAGAATGCAGAATTCAGTATTGGGCTACGTACAGAGTGCAGGGTTTAGGATTGGACTACGTACAGCATGCAGGGTTCAGGATTGGGCTATGTACAGAGTGCGGAGTTCAGGATTGGACTACGTATAGCATGTGGGGTTCATGATTGGGCTACGTACAGAGTGCGGGGCTCAGGATTGGGCTACGTACAGAGTGCATGGCTCTGGATTGGGCTTCATACAGAGTTCGGGGCTCAGGATTAGGCTACATACAGAGTGCAGGGCTCAGGATTGAGCTAAGTACAGAGTGCGTGGCTCAGGAGTGTGTTACATTCAGATCATAGAGTTAAAGATTGTGTTATGTACAGAGTGCAGGTGTACATATCTCAGAGGCCAGTTAACAACTCCCCCCCCTCCCCAAATACAGAGCTCTCCTCCCAAATTTCTGCTTCCTCCTCCCCAGTCCAGAGCTCTTCTTTCCTCCCTGCCCAGTGCAGAGCACCTCTCTCTTCCTCTTCCAGATGTTTCTTCTCCTCCCTCTCCAATACACAGCACTCATCTACCCCACAGAAGAGCATGTACGGTAACTTACAGTAGGAAGTCAGGCTGCCGACGCGGGCTTCTGTAGATGCTGCGAGGAGGCTGGAGCTTTGTGCATACCTTGCCCCCTCCTTCACCCCGCCCCCTCCTCCGCGCCCCCCCATCAGTTGTATATGCAGGGCGAGCAGGGAGGGTTTAGTGTGCTGCTGAGAGAGCATCGCTGTCATTTATAAAACACAGAAGCTGAGCTTCTGTGTTTTATAGGTGACAGCTGACAGTAGTGAGCGGCAATGCAAGTGGCCAGCGCTGGAGGGCAAGTTCCAGCTGTAGCTACTGCATTAAGATGAAACTTGAAGTTGCTGGCTGGCCGGGCCCCCGGGTCACAATAAAGGGCCCAGGCCCCCTACAGAAAGCCCGGAGGTATCCCCTTATCAGCAGCCCTGCAAGCAGCACTGACCATTCATTCAGAATTGTGAAAGTTGCTCAGCTTAGAGAGGGGGCAGGCTGTACCTCCCCCAACAGGATAGCCTATGATTCGGGGGGGGAGATACAGCCAGCACAAAGAGGCAATGGGGGCCACCAAACAAACAGCACCAACTGCTATATGCACTTGTTCCCCCTTAAATAAAATGGAAAATAAAATGAATGATCGTTCTTCTTTAAGAAGAGACTCAGTGATTACTTGCTTCTGACAATAAATAGGAATCTTTCGTTTCCTGGGACGTTTCCCCGCCGTCACACACATCTTAGCTCTGATACCTATGGCCACTGATTTTTTTTTTTTTTTATTTTACAATGCTTCATGCTCTGAAGTCTGACCATAGGAATACAGTGGTTCTATGAAGCAATAATTGCATTTCGAGGCTGAACTGCAATACTGCTGGTGCTATGAGTGGAAACATTAAGCTCCTAAAAAAAATTGTGACTTTGGAAAAAGGGCATCGCTTCTGTTAACACATGAAGGCAGCATCAGTCTGCTGTTTCTGTCCAGCCAGAGGATGGGGGAGCAAAAAGACCTGTAAGTGTTACTAAACTGCAGTAATAAAAAATCACTCCTCCTCTGCCAGACATGGCTGTGCGGTGTGGCAATCTTGTGTAAATCCCAGGTCTGAATGGACAGAAAACAAATTCTGTAGCAGGTAACACAGCCTCCATATAGGATTTTCATCTTTGTATTAGGTGTTTGCCTGGAGTTCAGCTTTAACAATTAAGTTGAACAGAGCTTGGTGTACATCACATAAAAATACGATAAGTACTATCAATAATGTCTAGAAGTGTAAGAACATTTTACTAAATATGTACTAGAAGAATGAATGGAACATCTTGCTTGTAGTTTTTGCACAGGGCCCCCTTTCTGTTGTAATGGGTCACCAATGGTTAAAAATGATTGTGGTAGATGTAACTAATAATAGAAGCTGTAAGTCTGTTATACACTGCTTTATTATCACCAAAATATTTCTAATAACTGTATTAAAGTGGAATGCAATCCCAGACTTTTTCAATTTTGTGTGAGGAAAGATTATCTCCCAGATTTTTATTGCTGTGTATGTTCCCATTCGCAAACTTTACCTTCATGTCCTGTCCTTGAGATTGACAGAAGTAAGAAAAGTTTGAAATTGGTGGCAAATCCTACCTTTGACGTTTGTCACTCAAATAGTCGTACCCATTGGGAGGTTTCTAGGGTTATTTTGGTGAGAATGGTGAAACTTTAGAGTCTCATAACTTTCTATACCATAATTTACAAATTGTTAAGGAAACCTGTAAATGGGGCACAGATAGGAATAACTCATTTTGGCTTGACTTAAATATATACCAGTGGTTCTTTTATGACTACTAAATTATGGGTGTAGGTATAACTCTTTACACTAAATTTTGACAGAACGTTTATCATTTACATGCTATAGTCTGCAAGTAACTGGTCAGTGCATACAACCATATTTTACACACTATTATGTTATTTATGTTATTATTTACATTCAGCATTAATTATGATGTACCTTTGTGGACAACATGCTTAAAAATCTAATTTTTTTTCGTATTTCTTATTTTCTAGAGACCCATCCTGTCCGTGAGAAGAGGATTACCTGGATTTATAGTTCCAATATAAATTCATGTATGGCTTGGCTAAAGCTGCAGCCTCTTGCATCAACATTTCTCCACTTTGGACTTATTACCTTTGTGTTGTTTCTCCAAAGTCTTCAAGTTCATGCTGCTGCCGCAGGGAACCCCCCAAGTGCTGGACAAAACAAAACCTGCTCAGGTTCTTTTAACTGTAAGGCAGGCGTTATTCTACCAATATGGTATCCAGAAAACCCATCCCTGGGGGACAAAATTGCCAGAGTCATTGTGTACTTTGTGGCAATGATTTACATGTTTCTTGGGGTGTCCATCATTGCAGACCGATTCATGGCATCCATAGAGGTCATAACATCACAGGAACGTGAAATCATAATTAAAAAAACAAATGGAGAGACCACTACAACCACTATTAGAGTCTGGAACGAGACGGTCTCCAACCTAACCCTTATGGCACTTGGTTCTTCAGCCCCTGAAATCCTTTTGTCTTTGATTGAAGTATGTGGCCATGGATTTTATGCTGGAGATCTTGGTCCATCAACTATTGTTGGAAGTGCAGCTTTTAACATGTTTATCATTATTGCTATTTGCGTCTATGTCATACCGGACGGAGAAGTTAGAAAGATCAAACATCTACGAGTATTTTTTGTGACAGCTGCATGGAGTATCTTTGCCTATATATGGCTGTACATGATTCTTGCTGTCTTCTCTCCAGGAGTGGTCCAAGTATGGGAAGGGTTGCTTACCTTGTTCTTCTTTCCTGTCTGTGTTGTCCTTGCCTGGGTGGCAGACCGGCGTCTTTTATTTTATAAATATATGCACAAAAAGTATCGGACAGACAAACACAGAGCAATTATGATTGAAACAGAAGCAGAACATCCCAAAGGAATTGAAATGGATGGCAAGGTTATGAATTCTCATTTTCTAGATGGGAATTTATTAAATATGGATGGTAAAGAAGTAGATGAATCTCGTAGAGATATGATTAGAATCCTTAAAGAACTAAAGCAAAAACACCCTGAGAAGGACTTAGACCAGTTAGTAGAAATGGCAAACTACTACGCTTTGTCACATCAGCAGAAGAGCAGAGCATTCTATCGTATACAAGCCACCAGAATGATGACTGGAGCTGGTAACATTTTGAAGAAGCATGCTGCTGAGCAGTCCAAACGAAGCACCAGTTTGCAAGACATATGCTTGGATGAATCTGAAGAGTTTGTATCGAAAATCTACTTTGACCCTTGTTCCTATCAATGTCTTGAAAACTGTGGTGCTGTACTGTTGACCATAGTGAGGAAAGGTGGCGACATATCAAAGACAATTCTGTTGGACTATAAAACAGAAGATGGTTCTGCCAATGCAGGCGCTGACTATGAGTTTACAGAGGGGACCTTGGTTTTCAAGCCTGGAGAGACACAAAAGGAGTTTTCAGTTGGAATTATTGATGATGATATCTTTGAGGAAGATGAACATTTCTTTGTGAGGCTCAATAACATAAGAATAGCTGAAGCGCCAGAACCAGTGGAGCCTAATACTTTCAGCTATCCAAAAGCAGTATTGGTCGCTCCTTATGTGGCCTCAGTTACTATTTTGGATGATGACCATGCAGGGATATTTACATTTGAATGTGACATTATTCGTGTGAGTGAGAGTATCGGTGTGATGGAGGTTAAAGTCCTTAGGACATCTGGAGCTAGAGGCACCGTCATTATCCCTTTTAGGACAGTTGAAGGAACTGCAAAAGGTGGTGGGGAAGATTACGAAGATACGTTTGGGGAACTGGAATTCAAAAATGATGAAACTGTGTAAGTAACACATTCATTCTTTTTATTTGGCCTTGGTTTTTACTTAAAATTTGTGTCCAAAGGTGTCTGCACATTTAAAAGTTTATTGCATTTTTAACAAATGAATTTTAAAATAAAACGCACATCACTTGCTTTCACGACATGTTACTAGTATCGGAAGTACTTATTTACACAGTACTTTGTGTTAGCAAGGTGAGAATGATGGCGTTTCACCAAACAAAGTAGGAGAAAGGCGAGGAGGTAGAAAGAGGTTGTTTGGGAAAAGGGGGGGGGGGGGGGTTGTTGAGTAACTGTGATTTATTGAGGAATGGCCCTTATGTGGCATTCTCATAGTTTAGGGCTACAAAAGGTACCTGTCAAAAGTTGGTGAAGGGAAGTTTATTGCTCTCAGTTTCCAAATAATGTCCTAATAGTAAAATGGCAGGCAGTTACTAAAGTTCAGGAAGATCAATGAACTATATGAGCTCTCAACAGCACCCTTGCAGTTCATTGAAAACTACAAGCTGTCTGCTGCGGTGGCAGACAGTACTTTTAGTTCATTCATTCACAGTCACACTCTGTGAATGAAGGACATGGCTGAAGATCCCTTCGTGGCTGCGCTGGTTTTGAATTATGACAACAGGTGCACGGAGAGGATCTCCCACCTGCTGTCACAGTGGGGATCGGGTCGAGGTGCAGGCAGGTGCTTTAGTAACATGCTACATGTTACACTCTATGGGTGTAACATGTTACTAAACCTGAACTTATTCTTTAAGTAAGGCTTGGCAAGGGTTCAAGTTGAACAGGTAACCTTTGATGGTAGCTATATACCTGTATACCTTGGATCGAGTCTATTTGCTATTGGCCAGTGGCACTAGATATGCAAAAAAAAAAGTCCTAGGCTCCAGGCATCATCAGAAGAATGCTGGGGAGTGTCAAATGTAAAATTTAGTGCATATTTTTTTCATGGCTGAAAACAACTTCCATAACTGGTCATCAAATGCTTGCTAAGATTACTAAAGTTGGTGTGTGCAATTTTCAGTATTACATATAAATGTTAATATCCAGTTATATTTTGTGTATTCAGGAATGCAGTCAGCTCTTTTTTAAAATAATCCAGAACTAGTTCTTGAGAGAGTTCATTCCACATTTTCACAGCTCTTACTGTGAAGAAGCCTTTCTGTATGTGGAGATTAACCTCCCAGGAGGTATTCCCGAGTGTAGCTCGGGGTAAAGTTTCAGCACCACAAGCGGTAACCCTCAGCTACACTCGGGAATACGCTGTAGCGCTGCTCTGGGATCTCTTCTTCACTTACCCTGTCCTTCGCTCCCGCGATGTCCCTCCTGCAGTGTCCCCGTCAATGTCCTCCGGCCGATGCCGGCATCCATCTTCTGGATTCTGTTCCCTGCGACATCAGGACGTATGGGGACGGAACGGCGGGAAATTTAAAAATGTGAAAAAGTGACATTCACTAAATTCACTAAAATCACATAGTAAAACATTACTGTATCAAACCATTTCACATACATTTTGTCCCGAGTGCTTTGTCCTGTGCCCTGCCTGCATTTTTACTGTTCTTTCTGCCTGGAAACTGAGAAATGTCCATGGCGTCCAAAAAAGCATCCCTTTAGGTCAAAAGCGGTTTTAGACCAGCTAGAGAACAGCGATAGTAAATCAGAACTACTTGCAGAATTGAGTGATAATGATTTGTGGGGAAATTCGTCATCAGACACTGAAAACGATTCTGCGACTGAGCTCAGTGATGTGCGAACGTGGCGCTATATTTCAAATTTCAGTGTTTTTGGTTTGATTATATTATTGAATTAAATGTATTATTATTATATTATTTTTATGATTATTTTTTAAATTATAATTTATGATTTTGTGTTTTCAAATTTTAACATACCCGGGATGTTTACTAGACTCTTGTTCGTACAGATTTCAGTGAGTTATTCCTAAAAATTACAGGCCTATAATAAAAAAAAATACATATTTCCATGCAAAAAAATTTACCACTTTGAGCACAGAAATAAGGACATAATCAGACCGCTAGGGAGGATAAAATGGTAGTAGTCATTTTGTTTATCTTGTACCTAGAGGTAAGTCTATAATAAGGCTTACCTGTAGGTAATGTAAAAATCTCCTAAACGTCCAAGGTTTAGGAGATATTTACTTGTGTAGTAGCCAGTAATGTAACCAGTGCATACTCCATTGAGAAAGTTGTGCCGCAGACGTGACTCCCACGCACATGCACAGCAGTGACAACATCGCAGCTCAGCCATTTGAATGGCCGGAGCCTGCAAGAATGCACCACTGGAGGGCTTTGTTTTAAGGGAAGTGTCACATAATGTGCTAGTACACAATGCATACTAGCACATTACGATATTGCCTTGCAGGGGAAACTTTTTTTCTCTTTTGTCTCTTTCCTACCGCTTTAAATCTCTTTTCCCCTAGACATAGTGTTGCTATTCCTCTGGTTTGACTTGTAAAAGTAAATAACTCTACACCAAGTCACTATATGGACCACCTATGTATTTATACATGGTGATCATATTTATACCCCCTTTAATTGCCTATTCTCAAGAGAGAACAAATTAAGTTTAGCTATTCTGTCCTCAGGTGAACTCCTCATGCCTCTTATCAGTATGGTTGTCCTTCTCTGCACTACATCTATGATCTACCAGAACACCCAGGTCCTTCTCAATCATTGACTCCCCCAGCTGCTCTCCCCCTAGTATGTATGATGCATGCACTTTTTTAGCCCCCAAGTGCATAACTTTACATTTATCAACATCAAACCTCATTTGCCACATAGTTGCCCAATTAAACAGTGCATTGAGGTCGGCTTGTAAAGTGGAGAAATCCTTTAAGGACGTTACACTACTACATAGCTTGGTGTCATCTGCAAACACTAAAATGGTACTTTTAAGCCCCAAACTCTATATCATTTATAAATATGTTAAAAAGGTAAGGAGCCCTACACTGAACCTTGGGGAACACCACTAGAAACCTTAGACCAGAGTATGAATACTCTTATTCAGAGTATGAATCATTAATCACTACTCTCTGGATATGGTCTTTTAACCATTTTTTTTTATCCATTTACAAATTGAATTTTCAAGCCTTTAGACCTTCACTTACACATTAGCCGCGTGTGTGGAACTGTGTCAAACGCTTTTGCGAAATTCAAGTAAACTATATCCACAGCCACTCCTTTGTGTCCTTTTTTTTGCTTACTTCCTCATAAAAGGAACTTTGCTTGACAACTCCGCTCTTTTGTTAATCCATGCTGACTATTGCTTAAAATATTGTTTTCTAGCAAAAACTCTTCAATATGGTCTTTTATTAAACTCTACAGTATCTTCCCAGCTATAGAAGTTAAACTAACTGGTCTGTAGTTAAATTGGTAAAGACTGTGGTCTTTTTATAAATATAGGCACCACATTGGCTTTGCAGAAATCCAGTGGTTTCATATAACTCATCAAAGTCTCTAAAAACTAGAAGCAATGGGGTTGATTTATTAAAACTTAAGAGTGCAAAATCTTTTGCAGCTCTGCATTGACACCAATCAGCCAAAGCTTTATTGAACAAACTGAAGTTAGAAGCTGATTGGCTACCATGCACAGCTGCACCAGATTTTGCACTCTTCAGTTTTAGTAAATCAACCCGATTGGCTTTTAAATAACAGCACTCAACTGTCTGAGAACACATAGGTGTAAGCCATTTGGTCCAGGAGAATTATTCACCATTTTTGTTTAAATGCATCTTGGCCAAATGAGTTATGAGCCATTGTAGTTCCTTTTTGAGCTATATCAGTGCTGTCCCCATTATGGACTTGAGCTCCCCCCTTTTTCCTTTGTATATACAGAGCTAAAAATGGTATTTAATACATTTGCCTTCTCTTTGTCTTCATTCACAAACTCTAAATTGTCTTGTAAAAGGCCTACATGCTCAGTCCTAATGTTTCTACTATTAATAAATTTGAAGAATTTGGGGGGTTTGTGCTACTCTATTTTGCAACCTGTCGTTTGGTTTGAATTTGTGTTGCCTTATTCTGTTATATTCTTTGTAACATTTAAATGAGAACAGTGATCCTTCAATTTTATGTTTGTTTATGCTCTTTTCTAATAGCTTTTTAACTTTGGACGTGAGCTACATAGGTTTTATTTTTAGCCTTTTAAACTTATTGCCTGTGGGAATAGACTTTGCAGTGTGAATACATACAGTCGATTTTAAGCATTCCTATATCTGTTTTGTGTCTTCAGTGACATTATTCCCTCCCAGTCTAAGTCTTGAAGAGTAGCCTTCAGCTTTGGAAAATCTGCTGTCTTAAAGTTTAGTGCTTTTATCTTTCCAGTATGTGCTTGTTAATTACAGCTAACAATAAATGAAATAATGTTATGGTCACTGCTACCCAGATGTTCTTTTGTATGAAAATTAATAATATATATTAAGTATATTAAATGTTAATTTTTGGGTTTAGTACATTTTAACAGGTTTGTATGTAGTAGCATTTCCTTGGCCACCTGGTCTACTCTAAAGTATCTTGCCAGTCATTGTATAGGTAAGCAAAGTCATAGTGGTCTGCTGTCTTCTTACAGTTTTACAATTTTTGTTACAGATTTTGAACAATAATGTAATTAAACTATCTTATGGCACTTTTTTCTGGTGTATCAATTGTTAATTTTTTTGTTCACAGTTGTGCTTTTTTTCTTGCTCTAAACGTTGTGAATATTCATCAATGACTTATATATTCAGTGTTTTCTTCTTTTTGCTTTACATCATCATCAATAAAGTAAGACCTTTGAGTTAGTTCTCATGACATTATGGAAGATCCAAGTTTATCCTTCTTACTATGGTCTTGCCTTCTTGACTTTAAACTGACCACTAGTGTAATATTTCCTCTTCTCAATTTTTCATTGACAAAAAAGAGAGTCAAATAGTTTGAGCTTGAGCACATTGCTGTTGTAAATAAAGAATCAGTGCATCTAAAATGGATTATTCTGTTTTAATAGATTTTTTAA